TTATTTCTTTCGGGTTTGCTTAAGAAGAGTTCTCATCATTATTTTCAAAGAGGTGAATTCAAATTTGTTCTCTTGGTGATGACACATCATAGTTGATTCAATGGAGCAAATTTTGTTGTAAGTTATTTCATGAGAATATCTTCCAGCCAGAATTAGAGGAGGACGATAAGCATCCCGAAACTGAAATTTTCTATCTTGGTCCAAAACAATGCTGGTATTCCTCAAAGCAGATTTGTCATTATTTTTAAAATCCTTCACATCCATGTCCTCTCTAGGTTCTCTTTTCAGATCAATATCACAATGTTGCAGAATTTTAGAGATCAACCGAGCATAAGGTAAACCACCACTTAACTTTTGAATATGGTTAATGTGATACATGATAAAATAAGCTCAATTAATAGAAAACTTATTTTTCAAGGCATACAACATATACAATTCAAGGTCATCAATGCGGGAATGGTTAGAGGATTTAAGCATGAGCACATAAGAAATAATAAAGCGCAACATCCGATCACTGACAGATAAGTTGGATGAATACATAATAAATCAAGACGAATAGAGTTTTTGCTTACCTATAACTTCCGGCTTAGACACCCGACAAATTGAAAAATAGTACTCAAGTGAATTATAATTAGGATATTTAGGAATAGTCCCAGTATGCAAAATCTGACCCGAATGAGGAACCCCTAAGCATTTTCCAAAAGTTTCTAAGTCCACACGAATATCTATATTTTTGACTCTAGAAGTCAACACATCATCTTCACCATCAATTTGACCAGGAATAAGGTTAAAGTTCATATAAATTCTCAAACCATATCCGGGTAGATATACCTATGATCAGCAACGAAACCATATACTTTCTGAAAATTTAACAGATCTGGAAAATCAAAGCTATGAGAAGGAAAAATTGGTAAATTACCATATTTTACCGGTAAAAGAGGTCGAGTCTAAATGTTGATAGAGAGCCTTCGAGATTTTGTTTATGGTGCATGAAATATGTTTTCATATTTCTCGGAGCTTGTTTCACCAATTTTGCTTTTTCCCTTAAGTTTCCTTGAAGCCATGGATGAAGTTGGAGAAGATGAAAGTTAGGGTTTGGAAAGGGGATTTTAGGATTTCTAAGGAGGAGGAAGATTTTATGACTTTTGATTTGAGATAAGGGATGGTTATAATGAAGTTTGGATGATTGGGTTTTAATTTGGGTGGAAGAGATTTGAATGAGAGAAGTTGGAAGAAGTTTGTAGGAATTGGAAGGAGTTAGAGAGAAGTTTGAAGGATGAAGAGAGTGTTGGAAAGTGACAATATTTATTTGACTTAAAATTAAAAGCACTTTTTTGCAATAGACAAAAGAAATAATATAATACCAAACAAAAACATGTCATTAAATTAAAAACATGCAACAAAAAAGTAGCTGGAATTAATTACCGCATGGGGAGTAACAAGTTCCCTCCTCAAAGCCAGGCCATCAAATTAAAAACAAGGAAGGATAATCGGTTACCCTATATGTTATACCCAGTTACCGAACACAGGCAGAAAACAATAGCTTTATTTCTCAATGTATGCAATAAATTTTTTGAAACTAGCACATAGACATGTTATTATATAATATAATGCAGCTTTTTATTATAAAAATAGGTCATATAAATATTTAGGGAAGAGTTTACCTTTGAGTCATTAGAGTTTTAATGAATAAAAGTTAATTTTGGAAGAATCATACGTCACCTTCATCTAAAATTCTAAGCTCTCGCAAAATTTTGTAAAAAGGTTCTTTTACGAAGAGGCTTTGTGAAGATATCTACTAATTGATTATGAGTATCTATGAAGGTGACTTTGACATCTCCTTGAAGCACGTGATCATGAAGAAAATAATGTTGTACGTCAATGTGTTTGGTTCTTGAGTACATGACCTGATTCTTTGTAATATTGGTCGCACATGTGTTGTCACAACATAGATGAATGCATCCTAGATCGAGTTTGTAGTCACAAAGTTGTTGCTTAAGCCAAAGTATTTGTGCACAAGAACTATCTGCTGCTATGTATTCTTCTTCGGCCGTGCTAAGAGAAACTCATGCTTGTTTCTTGCAAGCCCAAGATACTAATGCATTTCCAAGAATGTGACAAGTACCACTCGTACTTTTTCTATCAGTTTTACAACTTGCATAATCTGCATCAGAATAAACAATTAAGTTAAATATACTACCTTTTGGATACCACAAGCCGACATTTATTATTCCTTTAAGATACTTCATGATCCGCTTTACCGCCATGAGATGTGATTCCTTTGGGTTTGCTTGAAAGCGAGCACAAAGACAAACACAAAACATTATGTCAGGACATCTTTCCATCAAATATAATAAGGAACCAATCATACCTCGATATTTTGTAATATGAATGGAAACACTGGATTCATCCTGATCAACATAAGTTCCAGATCCCATTAGTGTAGACATTGTCTTGCAACTATCCATGTCGAATATTTTCTACAACTTTTTGCAATACTTGGATTGGTTGATGAAGATTCCATATTTTAGTTGCTTAATTTGAAGTCCAAGAAAATAGTTCATCTTACCCATCATGGACATCTCAAATTATCCTTTCATCATCAATGAAAATTCTTCACTCATTTATTTGTTTGTTGAACTAAAGATGATATCGTCAACGTAGACTTGAACCAATAAAGTGTTACATTTGGTTTTCTTAATAAACAAGGTCTTATTAACTTTACCTTTTTCAAATCCTTTTTTGCATAAAATATTACTAAGTCTATCATACCATGCTTTCAAACCATAAAGAGTTTTTCTCAACTTAAAGACATGTGAAGGATTCTTGAAGTCTTCAAATCCAGGGGTTGTTTGACGTAGACTTCTTCATGATGTAGCCATTCAAGAATTCGCTTTTGACATCCATTTGGTATAGCTAAAAATTTACATAACAAACATAAGCAAGTAAAAGACGAATAGCTTCTAACCTTACAACCGGAGTGAAAGTTTCGAATAATTATACCGTTTTCATCAAGTTTTTTCTTAAACACCCATCTTGTTCCTATGATGTGTTTATTGCTTGGCCTATGGACAAGTTCCTAAACTTGATTCCTTTCAAATTGGTTTAACTCTTTTTGCATATGAGTTATCCATTAGTCGTCTCCTAAGGCTTCATCAACTTTGGAAGGTTCTGTTTGAAAGACGAACTCCATGTTTAAGCAAGCATCTTTGAGACTTAATATTGTTGAAACTCTTTTGCTTATATCACCAATTACTTTGTCAATTGGATGATCACGATGGGTTCTCCATTATTGAGGTAAATCATTATGATTTGTATCTTGTTGTAAGACTTCTTTTTATTGTTTCGGTTGATCCTTGTTGATATCTTTGGAAGTATTTTCTTGAGGAACTTCTAATATATCATCATCATCATTACAAATAACAATAACCTCCTTGGAGGTGTTAGTTTCACCAAAAGAAACATGCATAGATTCTTCAATAGTTAAAGTTATTTTATTATATCTTCTATTAGCTTTACTAGAGAGAGAATAGCCGAGAAATATACCTTCATCAGATTTTCTCGTCAAACTTACTGAGATTGTCTTTGTCATTGTTGAGGAGAAAGCACTTGCATCCAAAAATGTGAAAGTGGGAAATATTTAGCTTTCTTCCTTTGAAGAGATCATATGGAGTCTTTTTCAAGATAGGTCTAATGATAACTCGATTTCCAACATAGCATGTCATACTAACTGTATCCTCCTAAAAATATTTAGGTAAATTTGCATCACTAAGCATTGTTCTTGCAAGTTCCACTAGAAATTGATTCTTTCTTTCAACTACACCATTTTGTTGTGGAGTCTTTGGTGCTGAAAAATTATGAGAGATACCATGTTCTTCATAAAATTATTCAAAAGATGCATTTTGGAATTCTCCACCATGGTCACTTCTTATGGATACAATATTTAATTACTTTTCATTTTGAATTTGCTTTGCATTCTTATTAAAAGCCTTTAAAGCATCACTTTTCTGCACAAAGAACAAAGTCCAAGAATATCTAGAAAAGTTATCAACAATAACTAAGGAATATACATTACATCTAAAGCTTATTGTTCTTGATGGACCAAATAAGTCCATATGCAATAATTGAAGTGGTCTTGTTGTTGATACCACATTCTTCGATTTGAAAGTTATTTTAGTTTGTTTTGCCTTTTGACAAGTATCACATAATTTATCTTTGACAAACTTTATCTTTGGTAAGCCAATGACAAGATCATGTTTGGTTAATTTATTTAAATGATCCATATGTGTATGGGTTGCCCTTTTATGCCATAACCATGATTCATTATTGTTTACCATAAGACATTTTACTTTCAAAGATAAATCATCTAACGAAATTATAAAAATATTGTTAATTATTTTACCTTTTAGTTTAACCTCATTGGTGACTTCATCTATTATCAAGCATTCATTTTTGGTGAACTTGATCCTGAAGCCCTTGTCACAAAGTTTTCTTATGCTTAGAAGATTATTCCTTAGTCCTTCAACATAAAGAACATCTTAAATGGATGTGAAAGGTGGTGCACCAACTTTGCCACTACCAAGAATTCTTCCCTTATTATTGTCTTCATAAGTTACAAAACCCTTGGCCTTTAGCACTAGATTTTAAAATTTGTTTACATCTCCTGTCATATGCTTGGAACAACCACTATCGAGATACCATAGATTTGAAGTGTTTTTCAAACAATCTTACAAAACAAATTAAGTTTTGTTAGATACCTAAGTTGCTTTGGGTCCTTCATAATTAGTACTTTTCTTTATCCACACATAATATCCAATTGTCACATTAAAGTTTCTAACATAGAAAATATTAGGTGTATCGCCTACAATACCACAATAAAAGCAAGTAGGTACAAAATTACTTATATATCTAGGAGGATAATATTTCTTCTTAACAAATCTTTTCTTTTTAGGATAATGAGGAACCACTTTAGGCTTTCTCACGTTATCTTGAGTTGTTTGGTCACTAGCCTTAACAAATATAGTTTTATTTGAACTTGGTTTTGAAAACTTTGAATAACAAAGTCCACTTTTATAATTGGAGTATCTTTGTTGACTAAGGACACCTTCCAATCCGATTTGTCCTTTTCATATCTTTCAAGAACTATTTTTAATTGGACAATTTAGAAAGAAAGTGATTCACAATTATTGCATACAAAATTCTATTTTTGATCATTAACCATCTTTTGTTTTTCATCTTTGAAATCTTTTTCCATTATTTCAACTTTTTCTTCTAAAGATGAGATTCGTTTCTTTTAAGATGATATAGTTTTGTACATAATTTTGCATTCACTTAAGAGTTCATCTATTGCACCTTGTGCATCATTATCATAAAGAGAAAATTCATTACTAACTTCATCGTCTTCATGATCGGAATGGTGTGAAGCCATCAATGTTAGATTTGTACTTTGGTCACTATCCAAATTGGATAAAGACTTATCTCATTGTGTTCCCATGCAACATAGGCTTTTTTATTCTTAAACTTATTTTTGCCTTTGAAGCCACATTTCTTGGAGAGTTTCGAAAAATACGGCTTTATGTGACCTTGCTTACCATATTCATAACATGTGACATCTTGTGTTGAAGTGGAAGCCTCCTTTTTCATGAAATGTTTCTTTCTTTTTGCATAAGAAGAAAATTTGTCATTTTTACCAAAGAACTTACCAAGCCGTTTCACAAGAAGCATGATGTTTTCATCTTCCTCCGGTGCATAATTATCTTGACTTCTTTTGAATCTACTTTCAAAGCGATGTCTTTGGATTTCTTCTCTTGATTTTCATGCTTCTCAAGTTTTCCTAGTTCTGTCTTATATTCTTGAAGTTTTCCAAACAATGTTGCAGAATTCATTGAGGAAAGGCTTTTTCTTTTCCAAAATTTTTGTCACTTTTGGTTGCCATTCCCTGGTTAAAGATCTGAGCACTTTAAGATTTAATTCATGTTAGTTAATGTCTTACTGAGTGCTTTCAAGTGATTCGTCAAATGCACGAATCTTTTTTGCATGTATAGGATTGATTCTCCGGGATGCATTCTAAATAATTCATATTCTTGACTTAAAGTATTCAATCTTGACCTTTTAACTTCAACCGTTCCTTCATGAGTCTCTACCAAGGTATCCCATATTTCTATTACTGTTGTACATATGCTGAAACACGAAATAATTCATCCATGCTAAGAGCACCTTGAAGAAGATTGATTGCTTTCTTGTCATAAAGGACTTTTTTCTTATCATCACCATCCCATGATGTTTTAGGCTTTGATGTTC